AGAAAAAATTTTCTCTTTAATCAGAAATCAAAACAATGGTGCTATTACCTAGACAAGTTAAAACCATTTTTAGCTGTTTTTTCTTTTGAAATTGGAAACCTTTAAAATTTAAAATTGAAAGGAGTGCTAAAGAATAAAGAGATAATTGCTGCTTTGATTTTTTTTTTCCCATCTTGGGAACTTAAAATGGAAGGGATCTGCATGGGAGGGTCAAGGATCTAGGTCCATGTATTTCTCAAACCCCAGAATCACCTATTGTACTTTTCTCCTGAGTGATGAGTGAGTAGTTTGTTAATACCTTGGAAAAGTTCTTGCTAGGACAAAGAGAATCTGTTTAAAGTTTCCTTTTCCACATGACATTTGCTTTTCTACAGTCTAAAATCTTTGAGCAAGTGGCCCACTCTGGGCTCTTTGGTAAACATAGGTCCAGTTTCTAGATGGTAGCTCTTCCCCTACAAGGATGAACCACCAATTCCAAAAGAAGCCACCACTCAAGATTACTAGGTTCAAAAAGATGACAGAGACCTGTAACTGAATCTGAACCACTGTTAATAATATGTTTAATTAATACTATAGAACAATATAGCGATATCTCATCTATTTTACTTTGACCCATTTAAAAGAATCAGGCACATACTCAAGAGTTACACATTCAGTCCAAGTGCTGCATTGCTATTTGTTGTTCTCTCTGTCTCTGTCTCTGTTTCTGTCTGTCCCTCTCTCTCTGTCTCTCTGTCTCTCTCTCTCTCTCTCTCTCTCTCTCTGTCTGTCTCCAGGATCTTTTTAAGTCACTCTCTCTGTCTCCAGGATCTTGTTAAGTCACTCAGTCTAAGTTGGAACTTGAGATCCTCCAGCCTCAGCCTCCCACAGTGCCAAGATTACAGGAGTGAACTACCATCTCCAGTTTCTGTATTGTTACTTCTGGATGATTGGTGGAATTTGAACTATGCTAGTCAGCTAGCATAGTTCAAAGTAGGGGCAAGCAGAGAAATAAAAATTTTTATGTATTTTGAGACAAAGGAACAATACATGATAACAGAATAGATAGTTCATATTGGTAAATTGGAGGCAGATTCTGAAGAGATTCTCTTGAGACATTTGGCATTGTTACTTCTGGATGTAATGAAGAAAGATGGAGAGTAGCCCCCACTAGTGCCACTATGGTGGTGGTGGCAGCAATTAGGAAAAAGTCTCCCAAGGAAGAAGACTGTTGGACAAGAGTTAATTAGGACTATTAGCCCAGTAATTCTTCCCTTGCTGCCAATATGTCTCCCTCCAGTCACCTTTATAAGATCATAGTGGAGCTTTTTAATGAAACCCATGGATTTCTTTACTGATGATGATAGCACTAAGGCTCTGGCTGCTTTGGCTGAAGAATCCCTGAGACTCCTGAAGAAGTGGTGAGCCTGGGTGCTCCTGTCCCAGGAGGGTCAGTGGACTTGGGCATGCTTGAATTTTGGCTTGGGAAGGAGGTATGGCCTCGTCACAGACATAGGTTTTAAGACATCAGGGATCGTTGTTTTTCCCCCCATAATTTTATTGATAAACAAATAGCAATGAGACAGTTTCAAATCAAATTGGTAGGACAGTTTCAATAATTAACACATTGCATACATTCTTCCTAGTGGTTAATTGCTGTACAAGATGCGGACACAATATCCTATTTACAGACACCATTAGAACAAATCACTCTATTCGACATCAGAGATTCTTGTCATACAATGGGCGATAGCCCTTCTTGCCTCCAGGTTTGAGAAGATTTCTCATAATGCAGCATCTGTTCAAATCTCCTGGGACAAGAATTTAGGACAGGTCTGGGACACCTTACAAAAGGACAGGGTAAGAGATCTAAAGTGGAGTGAGGAGAACAGAGCCTGAAGAAGGTGGGCAGGTCTTGCACCTCCTGGTAGAAGACACCAACTACTAGGAGTACCTGAAGCAGAGTGACGCAGAATATTGATGTACTACAGAATATGCAGCTAACCACATAGCTATCTGCAAGTGGCCACTGTAGTCCCTGGAGGTACCTACAAGTGGCCACAGCATTTATATACAATGGAGCAGCCTTGGGAAGCCAGTCCTGATGAACAGAACTGCTCATTTTCTGGGTTACAGACGACTGTCTTTCTCTAAAGGCAGGCCAAACTCACTAGAGTTCCACCAGAATGCAAAATACTCCCTTTTCAAACTAGGGTGAAATGAATGAGAGTTGGGAGCAGAAACCATAAGACAGTACGGATATCTCACCTGTCTTAATTCTATCCTCTTGGTAAAAATCATTAATTTAGAAGATATGGTGGGTTAGAAGCTCTGATACTTAGTATAGCAGTTTATCCCCATTACAGCCAGAGCCTACAGATATTGATAATGTAATTTCATGCTAGGAGAGGTCATTGATTAGGAATCTTAGTTAAAGATGCTAGGCCAGGTAAACTTCAAGCAATAACAGATTGCCCTGCTAGGAAACTGCCCTCCTGGCACAAATAGAACATTGTCCCCAAAGAGCTCCTCTCTTTTCCACCACCCTTGGAGTTTAGAATTTTCTGGAATAAGTGCATCTAAAGAAGAGAAAATTTTTATTGGGGTAGCCCATGAAATTTCTTGATTGCTATAGAGATTGTGACAATGGTAAAGGCTTGGTGGGGGTAACTGCAGTTATAATTTCTGCCACGTGAGGGCACTACTGGAAAGCAGAAAGTGATTGGGAACATTGTGCGCTCAGGCTGCTCGGAAGTCAGCTAGCATAGTTCAAAGTAGGGGCAAGCAGAGAAATAAAAATTTTTATGTATTTTGAGACAAAGGAACAGTACATAATAACAGAATAGATAGTTCATATTGGTAAATTGGAGGCAGATTCTGAAGAGATTCTCTTGAGACATTGGTACAATGCCACAAATGGTACCCCTGGACCCTCCTGTGATGAGAGATGAGTCTATCAACTGCTGAGAGAAGTTCACGTTTGCAAGGTGGAAGAAGAGAGGCCTCCTCCTCAACCCTCTACTCTCATCTGACACGGGGACTGAATTAGATACTGCTGGATGCCTGAGTCTTTGCCCAGGAAGGGGAATGTAACTTGGAGAAGACACAGGGAACCCTGAAAGCAGGCTTTAGGTCAGGGCTGACAGGTTGGTGGGGGCCAAACTGGAGCAGGGATGTTGACAGAATATTAGATAAACTGGTATCACACTGAGGATGGTGAATATGGGCTTCATGGCAGAGACTAAATCTACTTCAAAAAGAATAACAACCAAGTGAGGTTGAGTCTGGGTGTTAGGCAGACTGAAGACACTGCTGCCAAAAACATTTCTTCTGAGCTTTAAGTCCTCTATGAATGGTGGACAAATAGAGGCTAAGCCTATAAAAGCATACAGTAAAGCTGAGCATGGTGGTGCATGCCTACAATCTCAGTACTCTGGGAGGCTGAGACAGGAGGAATTCAAGTTTGAGTGCAGCCTGGACAACTTAGTAACTCACTGAGTATCTGTCTCAAAATTACAAAATATGAAATAAAAATCATTATCTTCTATTTCTATTGGTATTGGTTTAGACTATGAGTAAGTGAAACTTTACCTCTGATATTTTCATCAATCAGCTGTAAATTAACTTCCTCATGGCTAGCAGTTGGGTCAAATTCACAAATATGCCGCACTAAATATTTGTTAACATACTGTGAACAAAGAACAAAAGAACAGTCACAGGGTCACTGACAAGTAGAGACACAGTGTCCAGTTCACATGATTACATCTATATCTATCTATCTATCTATCTATCTATCATCTATCTATCTATCTATCTATCTATCTATCTATCTATCTATATTATAAAGCAGGTCTAACCAACCTATAATATTAGAAGTGAAGATCATGGCTACCACTGAGGTGTGTAAGTTGGGTGGTGGGAGCTTAAGGGGAAAGACACAAAAGAGGGCTTTGGGGATGTCACTAATGTGCTAATATTTTTATTTTAAAGTGAAAAATACAAAAATAAATAACAAGAACAAAGACACAATCAAAGCAACATGAAACAATAAGAATAGTATGGAGTTTCAAAATGAGATTAGAATATTAACAATGGTTGTTATACTACAGCTAATTTTTTGAAACTTAGGTGCAGGTTACATAAATGTGTTCATTGTGCAAAGATTATCTGTTTTGTATGCTTGTGAACTGTGCCATTATAGTTCATACAAATAAATTTGTATAAGTTGTTATGCAACAAAAAGAGTGGTAAAAAAAAAACGTACAAGTTTACATTTATCCCAGTTTTCCAACTCATTTGAACTTTCCAAGTCTGGATGATAGACTAAGATAACTCCTTTCAGGATGCCGTGTACTAGATCTACACTGGGTTCAAACTCCTGGGACTTGCTGTCTTGAGCAGACTTTGGCTCAGCTTCAGACTTATATTCATGGAGCATGAGGGACACAAAGTCCATGGGGCTGAGCGCGTGGAGGCATTCCCGCAGCTCCTGCAGCATGATTCGGAAAAAGAGAATTCCTGCTCGCTGGACTTCTCCTGCTTTTTCAATCTCTGGAATAACAGAATAATATTTCACATTGTTGTTCAGTCACATACATTCTGAGCATAGTCTAATAAACATTTTCTTCAGGAAAAAAAAGATCAGTTCTTCTGATTTTAAATAATCTGAAACTTCTTTGACAAATCAAAAGGGAATGGTAGAATTACCCCTAGTGCAGTTCATAGGAAGGAAACCTTAAGAAAAGACAGAAACTTGGGTTTTAGGGTTAGACCTTAGTTTAAATACATACTCTTTCACTTATAAGTTCTATTTTTTAAATTATCCATTTCCTTTTGTAAGAATGAGGGTAATCCTCACCTCCCTGGTGAGCTGCGGGGATTAAATGAAATGATACACATAAAACATGACATACGTAAAAGCATATATTCTAGGCTTTATATATAATGAAACTCAGAAGTTTTCTTCTTCCTCTTCCTCTTTGTTCTTCTCCCATTCCTCTTCTCCTCCTCCTCTACCTTCTCTTCCTCCTTTTTCTGAGACAGTGTCTTATTATGTTTCCCAGGTTGATCTCAGGCTCTTGGGTTCAAGTGATCCTCCTGCCTTGCCTCTTGCATAGATGGGACAATGGGTGACTACCCCCATGCCTAGTTTTCCTCTTTCTTACCCCATTCTATGTAATGGTTAGAAGTGGGCCTGCTTAATCTCATATAGTGTTACGCTAATTGTATCCACTTCACTCTAGCCAAGAGTTTCTATATCTTCATCTTCTTACCTCCCCCTCCAACCTGGTATTGTGTTAAGAGTAGCCTGGTAGATATGAAGTCACAAGAATGAGGATCTAGTCTTAACTCTGTCACTAGCATGTTATTGAACCTTGGAAAATCCACTTGACTTTTGTGTTTTAACTCCTTTATCTGTAAAATGGGATGTTCTGATTGATTAATGCTTATAATAGAAAGTGCCCCCAAATCTAGTTCAAGTCCAACCTTCACCACTTTTTGTTTGCTTTCTCTGAACATCACTTTCCTTACCTGTAAAATGGGTTATTACCATTTAAATAAGATTATGAGGATTAAATGAAAGGACATATTTAAAGTGCCTAAACCATAATAGGAAATTTAATAAAGTTAGTTCTATTTTGCCTTTCTTAGTCCTTTCTGTTCTTTTTATTTTGGCCAGCTTAGTCCACCCTGAGGGTGGGACTGGCATGCCATGTGTTGCCGGGGATTGAACCTCGGTCCACTGCTTGCATAAGCAGGCACTTTAGATAACTGAGATATCTTGCCAACCCAGTCCTTTCAGTTGTAAAACTGTATGGTTCCGACCAAGACAATATGATACCATGTCCTTTACCTTAGTTTATAGACCATACTCATAAGGCTAAGACTGCGTAGGGGAATTCTTTTTCACATGGCAAGGTCCATGTTGAAATAATTTATGTTAAGAAAAGAATCTTTTCTCACATTGCCTGTGATTTCCCCCAAACCTGATAACCCCATGAGTCCACATTCACCATACCTAAGATAATGTTTTTCTTTATCTCTCCAGAGAATTCACCCAATATTTCAGAGCAGGCAGCATGGATCATCTTCATCATTTTCTGTAGATCTTTATATTCTTGGTATAACAACATTCTGGTGTGGCCAATGTTAACATCAAGAAGTCCGAGAGCCTCTCCTGTTCTCTCACGAAGTGGAATTACTATGTGGGTTTCCCCACAGGCAGAGGCCAAAATAACTTCTGAACTGTCTATACACTTAAAAAGGTAATCTCTGAAACCAAATCCAAATAAGCACAAGGATATTAAACACCATCCTATTCACAGGATTCCTACAAAACATGCAGAATTATTCTCTCTTGCATCCACCTCATTCCCACCACCAAGCCCTTGTTGCTGTTTCGCCTCCTTACAGTGTCATCCTCCTTGATTTTGCCTGGCTTTCAGCTCAGCTTAGCTGGATATTTCTCTGCTCAAATATACTTTCAGCAGCAGCCTTCCTTACTACCCAATTTGAAGTAGGCTAAGTCACTCTGCATGTTCATGTCCTGCTTCATTGTCTTTAGCATATAGGTATTTACATGGAAGTGTTTGGTTATTTTCTTTACTTATTGCCCAATCAATATTTGTTAGTAGAATACCAGAAGGAATAAGGAGTGTGTTAGATCAGGTTTCCCAAAGCAGAGCCTGACAAGGATGCTTATGCAAGTAATAGAATGAGGGTGTGTTCTCTGGAGAAACTTGAGAGGGACTGAGGGAAGCAGCATAGGGAAAGGGGAGAAGCTAAGGAGGAATGTAATTTCAGGTGAAGTTTAGCCTCAGCCTGAACCTACTGAGGAGGACTGGGAGGTGCACTGTCCTGCTGTGAGGGAAGAGAGGGGTCTTAGCATCCGTGTATGACTTCAGTTTTGGCTGTAAGCTGCTTTGATTTGTGGTGCCAGTCCTGGGTAGGAGAGTGTTGCCTGCAACTCTAAGGTACCTCTGGTGAGGGGCTCCAATTCCTTAAGGGCATACCTTCCGAGAAAGTTAGTGTGAAGTGTTGTTACCTGCAACAGCAGCTGGCAAAAGGCACACTGCAGGTCTGGGTAGGGCATCTACAATATTTGCCTTAACTAGACCCTGGGATTTTAGTGGCAATGCAGTGCCTGCTTCTTTCTCTAGTGAGGCATAGACACACCACTGTTTGTCTCTTTTTTCCATATATTTATATAGGGATGCCAGCCCTTTAATTTTTGACAAAGGGGCCAAATATAGTCATGGGAAGAAAGTCTCTAAGAAATGGCTCTGAAAAAACTGGCTTTCCACATGCTGAAGTTTGAATTTATACCCATATCTCTCACTATACAGTATACTAAAATAAAAATGGATCAAAGATCTTAAATATTAAAACAGAAACAGGGCTGGGGAGATAGCTCGGTGGCCTAAGCACCTGCCTGGCAAGTGCAAGGATCTGGGTTCGATTCCCAGTGCCACATGCTGTGCTGGCCCTGGGTGCTGAGCCAACCACCGAACCAGAGTGTGGTGGCACACGCCTCTTATCCCAGTGCTGGGGAGGCTGAGACAGGAGGGTCACTATGAATCCAAGCTGCCTAGCAAGACCCTGTACCAAATAAATAAATGATATAACAAAAGTTTACAACAGATCCAACTTGCTGGAAGACAAAATAGATAACTCTTAAAGACATGTAAGCAAAGACTTTATGAATAAAATCCCAATTGAACAGAAAATACTACAAAGAATCAACACCTGGGATCACATCAAATTAAAATGCTTCTCAGCAAATGAAACCATCAACAGAGTGAACAGATAACCCACAGAATGAGAAAATTTGTGCCAGCTACTCCTCAGACAGGAGACTAATATGTAAAATATATAAAGAACTGAAAAAAATTAGACATCTAAATTTGATGATCCAGCCTAAAAATGAGCATCTGAAATGAATAGGCAATTCTCAAATGAAGTAGTACAAGTGACAAATAAACCAAAAAACGTTCAACATTGCTGGTCCCTGGAGAAATGCAAATACAATACTCAGATTCCATGTCACTCCCAAAGGAATGGCTATCTTGAAGTTAACAAATAAGAAATGCTGGCAAGGTATAGGGGAAAAGGACCCCTTCTCCATTATTGGTGGGAGTGTAAGCTGGTACAGTTACTATGAAAATCAGTATGAAGATTCCTCAAAAACTAAAACTAGGTTCCATTTGACCCAGCTAATTCCCTTCTAGGTATCTCCCCCAAGGAGTTAAAATTATCATACCACAGTGATACATGCATACCTATGTTTATAGCAGCACAATTTATAACAGCTAAATCTTGGAAATAGCTTACATGTTCACCAGTAGATGAATGGGTAAAGAGAATGTGTTATTTATGTAAAATGAGGTACTACTCTGCATAAGACAAACTGAGGCATATTTAGGTAAATGGACGCATCTTGATAACATAATATTAAGTGAAATAAATTAGACACACCGGTTTAAATATCACATTGTTTCTCTTGTGTGAGAAACCCAAGTGTAAATCAGGATCAAAAATGAGGCTCTATATTAGGAATTATGAGGAACATGTTCTAATGGAAAGGGGAACAAAGAAGAGGGGAAAGGAGAAAAAAAGGAAGGGAAAAGGGATTTAAAAAAAAGAAGGAAGAGATGGAAGCAGAGCTTTTGTAAATGGAGAGGGGAAGATGGATTGAAGGGAAGGGAATCAGAAAAATAATTAAGACATATTAGATACAGTACAAATCCCCCATGATGAATATGCTCATTATGTATGGCAAACATGTACTAAAAATACTAGTGCTAACCATGCATGACGATACATGTCTATAATCCCTGATATTTGGGAGACTGAAGAAGAGGATCAGGGCTGGGGAGATGGCTCAGTAGCATAAGCCCTTCCCTGGCAAGTGCAAGGGTCTGAGTTCAATCCCGGGTTCCACAAAAAAAAAA